GAGATGAGATGCGCCTGTCTGGCCAACATCTCGCAGGCTTGTGCTGCCTAATCTTCGAGGCACACTCCGCGAACCGCTTCGCAGCACGTCGTCGGTATTAGAGCTTGCTGTTGTTGAAGATGAGCTCACACCTGAATTTAATTCTTTCATCTCTTCATAGCTAAACTTTTCAACAAACTAGTGCAGAGCACATACCCAATTTGAAAAAATCCTAATTTGAGATTACTTACTTAATCCACGGCTGCGAAACTTGAACAAAGGAGGCTCAAACTGTAAGTTGTCGGAAGTGAAGCTTGGACATGACGCGGACGATCGTTGAATCTGAAATGGCAAAATTCAAGCAATGACAAGTATCTGGGGAAAAATAACCTGTCTCCTCAGCAAAAGTGTTACAGTTACTCGCGTTTTTGCATTATCAAAAGGAGTGACTTCATTTCCGCAATGCGAGGAATAAAACAGAAACCTTAACTGAGGGAGTGTGACTTTTTATGCACAACAATAAATCATTGGTCGGTTCGAAGAGATCTTCCATTTTCATTGAGCCAAATTCCACTTCAATCTGCGAAACAATAACATTCGGTACGGATCAAAATTTATTTCAAAAAAAAAAGTCAAAATCCTCTCCAAGCATTATGCGACGTATTTGGAAGTAATGGAACGTTTCAGCTGCAACTAGCCGGTGCTAATGCTGTCAGTGGCTTCTCTCCTGTGGTTGCTCAGAAACAAGCTGATTTCCCCACATCGTGCATTTAAACTTTTAGTTTTTTAATATGAAAGTAACCTATCTACCACCGTAACAAAACCGCAGCAAAAAACATCTGAAAGTTGAGAAGAATCTCACTGATTTGAAAAACGTGACAGTAAAACCAAACACAAAAAAAAAATCACAGAAAGTCGGAAGAGAATAATATCCGAGAAATTACCACTGTGAGGAACTGCTCTCTCTTCGATATTCCTACAGCCAAATGCCTTATATCAGCCAGAGCAAAAGGTGTTGACGTAACTGATTTCTTTTTTCGACTTCGCAGATTTTCTCGTTTGCTGCGCAATTCCACTTTCAGCTGAAAATATCACACATTCGATGATTTACCTAGCTTGTTTTCTTATACAACGGAACTACGTCCGTAGCGCTGACAGGAATGAAGCACGGATTGCTTCGTCTACAAAAACAGCATAATGAATCTACGGTTTTTGCCCATATGTGACAACTTTTCAAGAGTGGACGAAAAACGATCTATTTAGAAAGCAAAGCAAAACTGATCACATCTTCAACTCTCCTTCACATATCCTGCACCACACCGAACAATATGTTTGGGATATCACAAATTTGCTAAAGTCATTCTTTTGCACTGAATACGATGCAAATTATTGCTCTGATAGTAACTCTGAGCAAAAAAGCATCGGGGAAGTGAGTTGTGAAGCAATAATGAGCAGTGCTCAGACTCAGAACAGAGGACCATGACGAAGAGGAATTTCAAAAATTTCAGAGATAAAAAACCAGCGATATCTACATCCAAGCAAAACTGAAAGAGAATTTAATCACCTGAGGGCACTGTATCGTGAAATCAATATTGTGGATGACTTGTGCTCGTGCTTGTTCCAGCTCGCCCGTAGCCTGCAACTCGCACAACCAGAATGATACATGGTGCTTCTGTTTAATATTATGAGGGGCGCCAGCCATAACACGTTTCTTGTAATTTATCGCTGCACTGATGGCCGTTAAACTGCAGCCGCCGGATTCTATCTATCTCCTTCACTGCAACTCTGCCTCGCACTTCGTATCACTGACAAAGACTCGCCTCAGTCCAACACATCACAAGACCGAATTGCGCATTATTTCTTATGCGCTTTGTGCTGTGTAACAGCGTTACAAAACGCATATT